GCTGGGTGAAGAGCCAATTTCATTTTAGGGATACGTGGTTTTTTTGGTTATGGATAATGGATCTTCTTACAATCCTAGGAAGACCTGATCTAAGACAACTGAAAGTAGAGACATTCATTCATTATATGTACATGAAATTTGAAACTCCACAAGGAAAAGCCAGCATTAAAGGTAATTAAGATGCTAAAAGATGCTACTTATGAGTTCTATCTCAGCGCATTGAGAAAAGTATCCCCATGGGCCCCAATTGGCAATACCATACTGATGGTACAAAACAAAAATATGCTTGAAAATCCTTTTTAGGAAAGCAAGTATCCGTAGCTGTGAAGGTTAATTTGAAATACTTACCTACCAGTAAAGATGACTTCGTAAGTACTAGGGGAAGCATGAATGTTGAAACAATTAAACCAAGGCTGGACCTGAAACAAGGTTGAAGTAATAAGAATTCTAATGAAAATATGAAAAGAACGAAAGGTGAGCCTCTTTCCACCTATAGCGAAGTTTTAATCGAAGGCTAGCCTATTTCTGCTATATTGAAATATTGATGAAAGGCTAGTCTATTTTCGCTCGAAACATAGTCTTAACTGAAGGCGAGATTTATTCTACCAAGGAAACATAGCGGTTGAATTCCATCCCAAAGGTCAACTATAAAGGTTGAGTCCAAATCCATCCACATGAAAGTTTGATGTCATGATAAGAAACCACTGTAGCTATATACGAAATACTTGTATAACAAAAAGCCATGACAGAAGTCATGATCGTGATTCTTTGTTCTTTATTCTGTTGCAATGAATGAATCGATAAAATTTTGTATTTGGTGAATTATATTGGTGATATATGAAATCAGCTTAAATACATTATGTAAAGCATAATTAAATAACAAGTGAGTTAAGTAATGCGAGCCTAAATAAACATTAGCAAAATAAGTGATTTTATACAAAAGAATTGACAAATGTTCATTACAATACAAGGGCGAGACAAATTCAAGCTCTTTCTCCAAATTGACTGAAAGCTGAAGGTTCCCAAAAGTCGAATCATCTTGGTTAACTTGAGCATTACCCTCGAAGGATATAATCGCTTTAGAAGATGGAGGAGGAATGGGAGTAGAAGTGTCGCCGGCTTAGCATTAGTTCCCATTTTGCAAGATAGTCTAAGAATCCATAGGTTGGGAAGGTTCGACAGGAATGGATGAAGTATCTAAAGCCTCAGGGGATAACGAAGGAACCTCGAGAGACAAGGTGTCTTCAACATCTTCTCTGCGAGCCTCCAAGAAGTCCATATTCCACTCAAGGTGAAAACCCTAACGATATCAAGAAACTCATTACCCCTTCATGCATAGCTTCCTCAACAAGCTAGACTTTACAATAGCCAATTTTGATTCACTATTCTCCAATTGATTGTGAAGCGAGGCCATTTCATTACTCGCATTATCAAGGTCCTTGGAAGTAATATACTACTTAGCCCTCGCCAATTGGAGCTCCTCTCTAAGACGTGAAACTTCACGACCAATCTTGGTGACATAAGCTGCATGGCTCTCTTTAGCTAACTCTAGATTCTTGGAGACCTTCTTAACATCAGCCACCAGTGAAGACTTCTTTGTAGCAAAAGTTTTGACGCATTTCCTCGTAAGGGCATTTGGGCTTCTCCTTCTCGGTTTCTTCTAATTTCTGAAGGGCATCGTACCTTTTTTCCAAGGAATTAACCTTCTTATCCAAGTTATCAACTCGTAAAATACAAACCTCATATTCAGCCTGCTGATCATGACGAAGTACAGCAACTTACAAGAGATGAGTGCTAATCATTTTCCCCTTTACGTAGGGATAAGCTTCTCTGCAAGTCTTTTTCGAGATTGATTGAAATAAGTATATATGGATTTATAGTCCTAAAAGTAGAAGGAGGAATCACTGATAAGATCCCTGAATCTAATCCTTGTTGCAGCAAGGGAAGAATAAAGACTTAGAATTCGAGATAAATCCTTAAAGGGAGAAGATGTTTAGGGATTCGGAATTGGCTTGGACCTATCTAGCATTATTCCCTTCCTTTTGAAGGGATCCCTAACTCGAGCCAACGGAGAGAGGACATGGACTCCAATGGCAAGGACACTGGAGCTCAAGTAGCAGAAGAAGACTTTGACCCTCCGGTCCCTAGGAAGGTGGGGAACGCCTAGTTGTACCCTAAACCATTCGTGAATGTATATTCCTAGACCTATTGGATCCTTTAGTAGCCAATTCCTTAGGATGTGGAGGTGCTGAAGTGTAGAAGTGCTTAGGGGTTGCTATAGGATTTGCATTTCACAATGGAAAAGAAAGAGAAAAATCAAAAATTATCTAAAAGTAGAGAAATCAAGAAACAAAGAAAGTATATACTTATCTCAATCATTAAACTAAAGCAATTTTTTTTTGTATGAATTGGCTTAATTTTGTACATATTTCTTTTATTAGGTGAACTCGATGAAAAACGATGAAATTGGACAAAGTGGACGAAAAATTGGCCAAATGGACTTAATCCAAAATTTGGGGACTAAATCGCAAAGTTCAAATAGTTGATTCGGACCTAATATCGATAATTGGGAAAGTTTGGAGTTAAATAGGTGGAATTAGAAAATGGAGGAGTAAGAATATATCGAAAAGGGAGTAAATGACAAAAGAATGAAATTGAGGGACCAAAGCGCAACAAATGGAAGTTTTCAACAGGGGCACGCGCGTATCACCCTAGGTTGCATTTATCGAGCCCAAACACCTTGACGACATGTACGTAGTGGAACATATGGCGTGTGTGCCCAGGTTATTTCCTGCTTGAACGGAACAGTTTCCTTGTTTGAATCAAATTCATATTAGATTGAAATTTTATCATCCATTTAACCTATGAGGGATGACCAGAATTAGAAAACACAACACATACAATATTTTTCACCACAAGAATGAGGCTAGCATGAAATTCAAAATGCGATTAATACAAGAAATTGAAGATTCAAAATTCGGGTTGGAGATTAACGAAAAGGAAATTAATTTTTCACCTTCCAATTATTATTTTAAATTCCAAGCGATGTTATTCCAAATCTTTTTGTGTAATTTACATAACAACATGCTAGGTTAAATCTTTTCATGTATTGGATAAAGATGAAATTTGTTGTCGGTTACTTTTAATTCAAGACAAGTAATTAGTTAAATTATTGCGTTTCTTAATTAATCTTGCATGCTTAATTTATTAATTAATTGGTGATCATTATTATTTGATTGTCTGTGTTATGGATCATATAGTTTAACGTTGTGTAACCCCCTGAATGATGCATGGCATAGCGTTCTTTCCGTCCCATAATTTTTGTGACTGCAGCTTTAGGAGAAGCAAGGAAAAGACCCGGCTGGAGTGGTCCTGTGAGAAGGCACCTAAAGATACAATTTGTGGATTGACCACATAACTAACCATATCGAATAAATTGTAAGCACACAAATGTATGTATTTACAATCTTGCTACATTGCCAAAGGATTTTAACACTTTGAATAACAGAATGACACATGTTTACATCATTGAATTGTTTAAAAAACAATCAACAACGCCATCAAATCATTTCTTGGCATAACTTCATCTGTCAATCAAGGTGTTAAATTTATCCGTTAAAACAACATAATTCATGTATTTAAATAGTGGCGAGCTAGCTACTTCCTTGCCCAGCGCTAACTGTTGGATGGAGACTGATAGGCGTTAATGGTATTGAGTGACAATATGATGTTGACAAAATGAAAAGTGCAGAGACAGGAATACACAAGGACACGTGAATCAAAGGGTTATCATGTGAACTACAATCTCTTTTTTCTGTTCCTACCATATGATGCATCACACGATCAATTTTTGATTGATTCTTTATTTTGGCCAAATAAGCATACAAATGGAGACTATTCTTTTCTCCAAGTAATAATCAAGTTGAGATGCAATTTATGTCTACGTGGCGGCTCTTGTGGGACCCAAAAAGATTTTATTAAATGAATTTGTATAATTAGTTTGATAATGTTGTGATGTGTAAAGACCTTGACCATCAATTTGAAAAAAAAAAAAATTCAAATCAATGACCATGATCTCTGCCAACTCACGCATTTTCAAACTAATTGTCTAAATAGTTGTACAAGTAGCATGATTGGTGTTATTAGTTTAGTTACAAATACAACAGCACGCATGTGACAACAATCGTTGAAGTCGACTATTTAAAGCTCAAATTATTATTGCCTCCATGCCGACATTGTAAGACTACTGATTTGAAATATGTTGTTCACCCAATTGTAAATTGACACATTATAAAAAATTAATGTTGTCGTCAATTTTAATTTTCCATGATGTATCAATTTTTGGTGGACGGCAAAAATGGAGAGCAGATTTCAACTCGAGACTACCACCCTGTCCATGTCTGAAATTTTCCCTTTTCTAGAACAAATAATACTAGGATTTATTTTTCGAGTTCTCTTTCTTTGATTCATTTGGACCGTGCATCAAACTTAGATTCCTTAAACAAATTTAAAACTCTTTGCATTTTAGATGAAATTAAAGAACGAAAAGTTGTGGCTCACATGGATTCTCCGCCTTATGTACTGTGGCTTGCTAAACAACAAAGGACCAAAAACCTCACATTTAAAAACAAATGTGGTCCATAGCTATCTACAATTAATTTTGAAAAACATAAGATATCAAAAAAGATAATAAATTGCATGCCAGTACGACTATATAAACTTGTCATTGCCTATGCACATAAAGTAGATTACCTGCCAGCAAAGGCACTCATGGTGCTAGTCATGCCACTTGAATTGCTCGATTTCCAGTTGACGATATGATTCATAACCTAATGACCCACCCGAGTCTGATCGTATTTATGCTTTCTATCTGAGACTTATCTGAATCAGACTTAATATGTATGTTCTTCTATATATGATATTTGATCTCAATTTCATCTTCAAACTTGAATACCAATCACAAGTTGATTTACTATTGATGCAGGACTGGTCATGAATTCATGGAGCTAGTGTGGGAAAATGGAGAGGTTCTTATCCGACGTCCATCATCCTCTACAAGAACTGCTCAACCAAGGCCACCTTGCACCAAATGTTCCTCTCTCACGAAGATGAAGAGGAAAGATGGAGACATAAACACTACAAGAAACTCCAAAAATTCAAATTCGAAAACTCTTTATTCGACCTCCTCTCTTAACAATTGTTTTGAATCATTACCTGAATCATATGAGACCAATCAATCAAATCCTTCTTCAGTACACAGAAGTAGCTTCAGCATAAAAAAGTTCAGTGAGCATATTATGGAATCTCGTTTAATATTCTCAAAACCAGACAACGCTATTGGGAGTACAAGCACGTTTGCCAAGGGAGAGTCTCAGCCTCTGACTGAATGTAGCTGTGTCAACTTATCTAAATCTGTTTTACGAGATCCAGGTAACGGTGCGAGGACATTGAAAAATTGTGTAAACGGTAATGACAGATGGATCACTAATCACAAACACACAATTGACTTTCAGGATCAGGACTCAGTGCACCAGTATTGCCAGCCAGTCGAGGAGAATTATTGTGTGCCGAAAAGTCAATAAATGAAGAGTTTAAGGTTTCTACATCACATGGTAGTTACTTGCTGGTCGAATCAACAATGGTCAATTGCACTCGTGGTTAACTTGCTTTGATGGCTGCCCCAGTAGATTCAAAACCATTTGATTCCAAGAGCAATTCACCTCCAGATCAGCAATCTAATATCGTTGGGCCTCTGGCAGAATCTTCAAAATTCTCACAAGGATCATCAATTAATCCAAATATAGTTGCCAGGAGAAATTATCAGCAACCTAGAGATCAGTCAAAATATCAGAGTAATGTAAGTATACAAGGAATAGAAGTTACTCCCAATTCCCCTAAAGTTTCTATGTATTTAATTTTATCACCTATCACAAAGTAAAAGATGAACTTACAAGTTCATTGTGTAATACAGGGTGATGATCAATCTAAGAAAGTCGATAAATCAGCACCTGCATGAGGAAAAACTGCTGTTAAGGGAAAACAAATGGCCAAAGTGCATAGTCTGTCTGAAAAGGTGAGTAAGTTAAGCTCATCAAACACAGTACACATCTCAAGGAGAGAAAGGCTCGTGTTGTCAATAAAATTAAATGTATTCATCTAAACTGCGGATGTATTGAACAGAGGCGTAGAAATGAAATCAACAAGAGACTACGGATCCTGCGAGAGCTCATACCAAATTGCCGTAAGGTCTGAGATTTGTATTTATATATATTGTTTAACAAAAGTTATCGGTCTGAATGAGTTTTAACCATTTTCTGTGCTATGATTGTTCATACAGGTGGATAAAACAATTGTGCTAGATGAAGCTATTGAGTATCTGAAAACTCTTCAGCTTCAGTTACAGGTAACTTTACTTAAATCATATTCCATTCTATTATTTTGCTTTTCATAGTAACTGGAAGGCACCAACCCTGACGCTTAGGTTTGGTAATCTAGATGATGTCAGTCACAGCTGGACTGTACATTCCCCTTTCTATGATGTTACCACCTGGACCAATGCAACAAATACGCACTTCAAGTTTGGCAAACTACCCAACAATTGATGCTGTAAGGGGACTGAGGATGGGAACGGGTGCCGGATGCAGCAGCGCATTACAGTTTCCTACTTCACCTATATCAGGAGCTGTTGCTACGAATTCAAGACAGAGTATTTATCACCAAATGCTAGGTGTTCCCAGTTCAGTGTCACCCGTGCCTATGACAATACACCCACCCCTTGTACATTCACTCACAAGATTTTCTGCACGATCAATGGCAGATACCACTGAGAATATAAAAAAAACAGTAGCTACGGGTTCTAATGTTCCACAAATTTCAACAACTAAAATGAACTCTAAGATGAAAACATCCACTGTTTGAATAACAGTAAGAGTCTTGTTTTGGTGTTGGTCACTGATCCTACTTCGATTTTATAGGAAAACTAGGACTTAAAGGTGATCAATATGTGAAAGTGTCCGTCCCTAATTTCCATTCATTATTTAAAATCTCAACCAATCTTTTTGAGCATTTTAATTAAGTTAAACTGTTTAAATAAAACAATCACATCAACGCATAAATCTTTGCTTACTTCCATCAAATAGGAGCTAGAAAAATTTCAAAAACTTGTTGCATTTTTTATATCGCAAGTGTACGATATCGTAATAAGTAATATAGTGGACCTTTGAATCCGGATTATCGTTCCCACAAGAACTATACTTTAGACCTTAATTAAAATTTTCTAATTCATATTCGATACAAGCAAACGAAGAATCTTGATGGGTGAGATTATGTTTTCCTAATTAACCTAATTAAGTCTAATTAATTGAAAATATCAAAATCTTGCAAACAACGATTGATTAAAGATTCAAATACATGATGAATATTAGAGCAAAATAATTTCATTTATTGATCACCTTAATTCTTAATTCAAAATTTTAACCTAATGTAGTGTTCGGTCGAATTCGTTTGTTCTATTCAATTTACCCCTCTCGAGTTCTCATTGAGCATATTTAACTAATTCAATTTCATATCTATATGCAAATTACCCTTAGTTAAACGAAACACTAGTTCTAAGAATTCATATTATGATCGAAATAATTAATATAGGTATCTCTACACGTTATACTAATTTATCAAATTTTATTATACGGTCTAAGTCTCAAACTCCCCTCTCGATTCGTAAGAGACTCACATAATCATCAAATTATTAATCTGGAATTTAATACATTAAACTTATAGTAAAACCAACACATATAAGAATAAATCACATAAATCTTGATTAGAAAAATAAAGGATCACAAGTCGATTACATTGTTTTCTTTAATTTGAAGTTTAGTCACTTATAATATAAAAAAAAGTAAAAGTAATGGAATGCATCACTGAATTTTAATAAAGATGTAGAAACGAATTAAATCTTGCATCAAGATCTTCTTCCGCTTCCAATCAACGCTTTAAACTCGAATTACGTGATGATTCTCTTCTTTGAATTAGGCTCTTCGATCTCTCGTTGTATCCTCATTTCTCAATGTGTGGAACCCCTAAATTGTACATCTTTTCTTCTATTTATACTCTCCTACATGGTTTTTCAAAATTTGGAGCCTTTATGGGCTAGTACAGCACCTGAGCGCTTGTGGTATAGCGCTTGGGCGCTGTGTCACTGTCTAAATTATGCATCTGTTTCAATATTTTTGTCATAACCTTTTCTCCCGATATTCGATTAAGACGATTCAAAATGCATTGGAAAGATAATTCAAAGAGATACAACATTCCTAGAAATAGCTCATTTTCAATTCGAATGTTTACTGGGCCAAAAATTGGTTGCAATCTCCAACTAAAAATCTTGACATCCTTGTGCGGTTGAAAATAGATTTGTGAAAATATTTTGACCATATTTTTCACTCCTTTTGACCTTTAGTTGTATCCATTTGACCCCTAGCATTCTTGAATCTTCCTTGTGAACTTCAACACAACTTTCAAGTATTTTCACTTTAGCTCCCAAACTTTGAATATTGCTATTTTCACCATTTTTCGCTTCTTTATTTCAATTTCACCTACATTCATTGAGTTTCACCTAATAACACATTATATAATAAATTAGGCTATAATTCCATTAAAAGAATTACGAAATGTCAATATGTTAGAACCCGAATAAGTGTATAAAATACACTTATCAAATACCTCTAAATTTAAACATTTGTTTGTCCTCAAACAAAACCATAACCTAACTTAACAAAAACACAAACTAGCAATGCTTATTACCTAAGTCAATCAAGTAAAGCAACAAGTTTTAACTAACTAACCTGGCTTTTTATCTCGGGATTAAAATCATAATAACAAATCTATGCACAATTTCAAAATCACAATACAAAAATTAAAATCCAATTTTCCATTGTAAAATCGACGTGTGTGTGTGTGTGTGTGTGTGAAGAATTAAGCATGGCATTATGAATTCATTAATCGGTTCAATTTCGTACCCTCGACGGTCAATTATGTCCTTTCATCACTTGGAAGATTCACACACTCCCAAACTTATTATTTTCACTCTTTTCCAGTGGGTGAACTAAGTCAGATGACCATA